CATGGGAGTTCCTTAAAAAAAAAAAAAAAAAAAAAAAAAACAAAGAAAAAGATTCCTTCCCAGCAACTATTTTGTCCTTTTAATTCAATTCACTTCAATTGGTAGAAAAATTACAGAAGGGAAAATTAACACTTTAAAGGCTAAAATGAAAATGGAGACATACACTAGAAATGTCTTCCTTCAGTTCTGAAGCAAGGCTTTTTGCCTATCTTAACGCCAAGTCCTGTGTTAATCAAAATGTGGCACTACACAAATTTTCTTCAAGTATCCCGTTGGACTATCCTGGGTTCAGATTTTATCTGCTTACTACAGTTCCCTGGCCTATTTAAAGACAGATATGGCTAATCTGACTTGGGTTCCAAGAGTCCATCAGCTCTGCTCAGTGAGAATGATCTCCTTACAGGAATATTATATGGACAACCAAATCCCTTCTTAACTCAAATTTATAGGGCAAACTCAATATTGGCAGGAGTAGGGATTGAACTTGAAGGGATTAAAGTCGAAGGATTCTGATTTATTCATAGGGTAGAATAGGAAAGACACAATTTAAAGACTATGAACTAAGGAAGGAAATTATGATGCAAATTACAGGCCAAATAGCATCAATTTACTAAATCTCAAGTCAAACTGAATAAAGATATTAACTGAACCATAAATTGGACTCTCTCTCTCTCTCTTTCTCTCTCTCTCTCTCTCTCTCTCTCTCTCTCTCTCTCTCTATATATATATATATATATATATATATATATATAATCTCCTAGCAAATTTGTTCAAACCAGAATCAAACCTATATATTTTCTAATGAACTAGAACATGAAAACATTCCTTTATCTGAACTTGAACTGAGCTAATGTTTCATTTGGTTTGAATTCCTGCTAAAGAGAAACATTTTTGGATTTCTTTTGCCTTTGAAGGAAGTTAGTTAAAATTCCATGGAAATGGCCTATCTCCTACAATCTTTAGTTTTTCAGTTGGAATGAAGGTATGTGAATCTATCCATGAGTTCCAGATCCAAGATAGACCAATACAAGTTGGAAACACGATGGTACTACCTACTATGTCCTAGAAAAGAACAAAGACTTTCAGTTTCACCCAACACCACTTACTCTTTGGTTAAATGTATATTGACCTTCATATGTCCCTTGCTAACAGCTCAGAAAACTCTTAACATTTTATGAAATGATTGTTTCTTCTTAAATCTCAAATAATATCTTTTAGAAAAAAGTTACGCAAACTGAAAACTATAGATTGTCTATACTTTATTATTTTCTTTATCTGATTCTGAACCCATGAGTGCTATTTTATAATTCTATAAATTATAAATATAAATAACTCCAGCTCCATTCATTTACCTTCAAAGTGTCAAAATGGATTCTGCTATCATGTATAACTAATAAGAACAAATAAAATAAATTAATAAGTAAATAACTAATGATATTAATAATGGAAAACTATTCTCAACTATAAACATGCAAATCCTGTCTTATTACAAATAAGGAATAAGACAATAAGTCCACCAAATCTCAGAGAAGAAAAGAAATTTGCCCAAGATCACAAAAGTAGGAAGTGATGTGGTTGGGCCTTCTTAGATGTCTCCCTCTCCTCTTCCATATCCTATCTACCACCATCCCCCACTTGACCTCCCCACTTGGAATGTTCCTATGATACTGTTTTGTCTGAGATCAACTTTGCCCCTCTGGAATATTCACTGAGGGACTTGGCTTTAAACAAACTGCTATGGAATGAGCATAATCATTTTACATGGATTTTCTTACCTTTTGGGGGTGTAATCATGCAGAGGTTCTAGACATATCAAAAAAGGTGAGCTCAAATATTCTGGAAACTGTCATGAAAGTTGTTCTATACTAGGGTTTGGCTTCATTTATGTCCATGAACTATCTGCAATGAGGATTCCAATTCTCTCTACCGAAAACACCACTTTACTTTGGTGGTAAGAAATAGAAGTTGTTTGTAAATCGGATACCTGCCACACACATTTATTATTCTATTTGCCTGGTGAGAGTGAATAAATTCTCATTTCTTTTTTTTTTAGCAAGGGAGTTCTGAAGGAGCAATAGCATATCTTGGCTGCCTGGGCCTGGACTGGAATCTACCACAACTCTTCAATTTGACAAATATTTATTGAGTCCTAATATATTCCTGTTCTGTCTCTGTCAGTGAGAGGCATATTTTGTAGAAGGGAAGTTCTGTAGCATGCTGGAGATCAATGATTTCACATTTAAACAGTTTAATTACAGGTGGTTGTGTTCATGTGTACTAGGTAACCAATTATATGTAGTCTACAAAGAGAATCATTTTAAATTCAAGCTTATGCACCCTGAATATTTCTAACTAATAGTTTATGTGGCAGTTTAAAAAACAGGTTCACAAATCCTGCAATAGCTCCCTCAAAAGGGTGGATGCTAATTCTTTTCCCCTTAAACACAGACTGAACTTGGTGACTGCTTCTAATTATTAGAATAAAGTAGAAGTGACAGTGTTGGCTTTGAAAACTAGATAATAAAAGACACTACATCTTCTTTTTTCATTCTTTTGAATCTTTCACTTGAGTGGGAGATCCTGCCAAAAGCCATTTTGAAAGTGGATCCTACAGCCCAGTGGAGCCTTCAGATGATCACAGCCCCTCCCAATAGCCTAGCCACAACAATATGAGAGACCCTCAGCCAGAACCACCCAGCTAAGCCACTCCAGAATTTCTAACCCACAGAAATTGTGAGATAATAAAAGCTTATTTTAAGCCACTAAGTCTTGGGATAATTTGTTTCACGGCAAGATATAAGTACAGTTAGAAATCCCTAGAACTAGCTAGTGCTATTTCTGAAAAATGATTAGGTAAGCAATTATTGCTAGATTTTATAAATCTTGACCAAATGTTTTAAAGTTCTTTTGAAATTTTTTTTCAAGTCTCTGCTTAGAAATTGTCCAAATAATTTTATTCCCCATCCAAGTGTTAAAACCTGAGGCTTAATAGTTTCAGCAATATGAATGTGCTTAGATAAATTCATGTGCCCTTTTGTACACTTGAACAAGATGTCATCAAGACACACCTATTTTTATTCCTTCAGGAAAACTTATCTAAATTCTTTTTTAAAATATTTTTTAGCTATACATGGACACAATGTCTTTATTTTGTTTATTTATTTTTATGTGGTACTGAGGATTGAACCCATGGTCTTACATATGTGAGGCAAGTGGTGTACTGCTGAGCCACAACCCCAGCCCAAAATTACCTAAAGTCTTACTATGCTGGGTGAAATAGGTCATTTTGTGCATATATTCACTCAATGACATGATTTGAGCATTTACTAGGGAGCATACACTTTGTTTCGCACTGAGGAGACAAAAACGAATGTGACACCTTGCTCTTGAGGGGTTCAATAGTTAGGGAAGTAGACAAACACGTACTTTACAACACAGGCTGCTGAATATTACCCCAGAAATATAAACGACATGCAATGATATTGCATGACAATGGAAAAATGATTTCTATATGAGATCATGAAGGATGAATAGGAATTTTCAAGTGAAGAGTGCTGAGTTGGAAAGATAGTATTCCAGGTGTGGGGGAACAGTGTGCAAAGACATTGAGGTATGAAAAGCCTGGGATGACCTTTTATACTTTAGTTTCTGTTGCTTGAGAACCAAGAGATGGCTGGTCATGTACATACTCGTAGCAGTGTGGTGTAGGCAGGACAGGCTATTTTTCCAGGAAAAGGTATTTCCAAGCCAAGAGGCTACTCAAGCTGCCCCAAATTAAAGGTGCAGTGGCGCATGCATGTAATCCCAGTGGCTTGGGAGACTGAGGCAGGAGGATCACAAGCTCAAAGCCAGCCTCAGGAACTTAGTGAGGCACTATCTCTGAATTTATATATCTGGGATGTGGCCCAGTGGTTAAGTGCCTCTGGTTTCAATGCTGGGTACCAAATAAACATATAAACAAAGGGCCCTTGTGGTTCCCCAAGTCTTTCAGGATTGAAGGATTCTCATGATGAGTCCTGTCTGAGCCTTGGGAGGACAAATGTGTAAGTCTTAGTGTGAAGACATCAAATTGTCTGGATGCAAGTCTACTGTATTCTCAGCTTGGACTTCTGTAGCTTTTTAGTTTTAATAGCATCTGTTATAAAAGAATGGAAGACATTTCCTTTTAGATCAGTGCCACTCTAAGACAAGTTTAAGAGTTTCTGCCAGAATGTAAATCAGCACACTGCTGCCTTTCTCAATGAAATAATGCTCTGGAGAAAAAAAGTCAGCTGATCTAAATGGTTTGCTTAGTGGCATAGTTAATTTACATTTGGCACAAGCACCTAATCTCATCACAGACTGACTGATAACAAACAGCTCACTAGTTGGCAGTGATCCAAACACCACAATTTTCAGATTACTCACAATCCACTAAATAAAATGCTTTATGACAAATCTCTTTGCATGTTTTCAGAACCCTGTGTTGTCTTTTCCTATTGTGAGAGTCGTGCAATCTCGTCTTCCTTTTTTTTAAAAAAATATAAATATGTATTGTGTACTGGTCTCTCTTTTTATTTTATGATATCTAATTTGATGTTCAGAGTCAAGTTTGAAGTGCAAGTGCATCAGCTAAGTTGATACTTTTGGGTGTCGATTTTTAGGCTTTTGTCCTTGATTCTGATTTTTAATTCCAGATTTATGTTTGCCTTGATTATTTCATTGAATATGTTTTGGCTGGATGATATTGAAGATGATGACAATAATGATAACCATAACAATAAGCATTATAGCAAGAATAGCCAAAAGGCCAGATTTCTGGTCTGTGTCCATTATGAGTGGAATGAGGGTTTGTGACTGTGCCTCCATGACTCCAACCAAGTTTGAGAGTTTTTTTCCCTTAAAAAATTGATAATCATGGACACACAGTGATGATCATGAGGAATTCATTTCTCTGCATGCAGAAGGTATTGGCCTCCATAAATGAAGTCAGCGTGCACAGTTAAGAAAAGAGCACTCACCGTCTTGGTCGTTACCTGAATCAGCTGGAGACTTACTTCGGCGCATAGGGCCAGGGCTCTTGGCTGAACTCTTCTGAGGTGTTGGAGATGCCTTTGGGCCAGCTGTGGCTGACGGATTTCCCTTCATGACTCGGCATTCTGGGCAAAAGGACACAGAGAGCTTAGCAGAGGGTAAAACTCAGGCTCAGCATATAATACCAGCCTTTGGAAAATGGGATAAACAGCACAGGCCAAAGCACTTAAATGGTTCAGGACTACAAGGCAGTCTTCATTGTTTGTAGGAATTATGGCCCTGAAGAGAGATGCATGAGGAAAACTTCCAAAAGTCACCTGGGCTAAACAAGGCGTTTAAATTTCTAGATTGTGGAACAAGGACAGGAGTTTAGAAGCAGGTCAAGTAAGTAATAAGTCAAGTCAGTCATTTGAGGATGACTTAGCCATGTCTCAGAATAGTACTTTTGGATATAATGTTTAATTAATTTCCCTGGAGTAGAGGTTGACATCTCAGAGGTTATAGTTACACAGATGAAATATCCATAAGTAATTTATAGTCAGGATAAGCAGTAAGAATTATTGTCTATTATATACCACACTTTGTAATGGCACATTACGAATGTTATGTCATTTTACATGAATAAGTACCACCACCACCATCTTACATTTACAAAGCTCTTTTTGATTTTCAATGCAAGTTATCATAATCCCTTTATGATGGTTGTTTAATGAATAAATGAGTCATCAATGACTGCCCCTTGTAACTTCAGAATGCTCATAGGAGTATAGTACAGTCTGCCAAATATTCCTGCATTCATCCCAGCCCCAATCTGACATATTTGTAGCACTCTTTCTAGACAGGTCACTTACTTTCCTCTGTCATGGTAAACTTGGGCACTGATAGTGCTGATTTACTAGGAGGATCATTCTATTCATTTTGCTGAGGAAGGTAGAAAGTACTTAAGCCTTAAGAAAAGTGGAATCATACAGATGGGTAGAGGATAGTGTTTTCTTTTAGACATCTCCTTTTGCCTGCTATTTAAAGGTGAACTGAAATGTAAATTAACCATAAAGATTTTGGGAGCTATTCTGGTAAATCAAGCTTATTAGGAAACTGAACTGAGTGGAAAGCTCATTTTTGTTTGCTTCACTTCTTGTTTGGTTGATGAACTTTAGTAATCACTGCCCAAAGTTAGAGATGTAGAAAGGCATAGGAAACTGCACATAACCTGTATTTGTTTAGCTATTTGATGATCATTTGCCTCCTCTCAAAGGAACAACAGCAGAAATACTATTTTTTTAGGGTTCTTGTCACTTGAGTTGTTTGTAAAGTTTACATTAGTAAAACTGCCTTTGTTTTTTTAATACTTTACTCCTCTTAAAAGGAAAACATGTTTTGAATGTGTCTTTCCATCAAGATCATATCCTAACCCTGTTGTTGAGTGAGCTAAGTCACCTTTATCTTACACCTGGAGCTTAACCAAAGGAGATACATGTTCAGGTCCTTCCTGAGATGATTCTTCTGGAATCCTGAATCACAAAGTAAGGTGAACATTACAGTAAACTCAAAGGTGGGGAAAGGGTCTGAGACTAAGAATATCATGGGAAAACCTTTCTAAAATGAGACCATTAACATGGACCAAATAGCTGGAGGATGTTACCTAGAAAAAAAGTGTATACATGGGATTCAATTTCTTCCTCCAAATTTTCCTTCCTGCAGTCTAATGGTATCTATTAGCCCATATGACACAATATGCATTTCCAGAAATATGGTCACTATTATGGAAGATGGTGAGTCTTATTTAGTTTGAAGGCTAGATTTCTGGGACATACTTTCACTTAGTGGCCCATGTATTCAAATATATAGGAGAAAGACTAATAGTATCTGCCCTTGAGGGGCCATGCTTGGATGTTCTCCAGGCCAACATAAACTCTTGTAAATCGTAAGGAATAGAAGTAAGGAGAAAAATAGGGCAATAAAACCTAATGGCTAAAAAGCAAAACCAACAAAATTTAAAAACCCAATGGTTGTGCTTACCATTTTCATCCAGGGAGAAATCATCCTGAGCATAGCGAAATTTTTCAGGACCACAGGCAATAAAAACATCATCATCACCAAAGAAATCATGAAGACAGGTTACCTGTGGAGAAAACAGAAACACTGGATTTGTATTTGGTGTTCTCGTGACAATGAACTTCATGCCATGTTGGCAGTGTGGAAAGCTTCACATGAAAGCCATTGTCTCTTTCAACCAGGGAGCTCCTTTTCCTCAAAACACCTATCACACTCATAGTCTGCACTATGATTCACAGTAAGTGAAGATCAAGTGCTATTGTTTTCTATGTTTAATGTCTGGTAGTCTTGTTTCCATAGCATCTAAAGTAAGATTAGAACCATATCTAAATGGAATGGTCCCTACCAAAGTAAAGTCAGTTGGTCCTACAAATGTCACTTTTTCTCAGACTTTCAAATACAAACTATTGTTGGCCCAATTCTGGAGCCAGGGATCTAGGCTAAGGCACATGAGAAATATTTTCTACAACCTGCAGTGGATAAAACCTAGAGCTGATCCAGAAGTTGAAATTCCTCTCTTCATGTACATGAGCTCTAAAGGATACCACTTCTTGACTGCTTTGTACCCACAAAAATTGGACCTTGGCTATAATGAGCCTAGAACCTGGTCTTGGCCCAGAATATCATTGCTCACTGAGAATCTAAGAAGGGAAAAATGCTGACCACTTGAAACTTCATCAGGAGCAATGGATCCCGTAGATTTGAGTCTTTCCTGTAAAGCCATGTTCCCAGTACCTTCCTGTCCTGGAGCACTCTATGCATGCCTGTTTCTTCACAATACAGTCTCCCCAGCCCCCTTTCTGCAGAAATAAATGAGGGTCCCTGGGAAAGTATGCTGCTCCCTGCAGTCTCCCCACTTCTCAGCTTTTCTAATTACAACTGATAATTAGTCCAGCACACATCAGGGAAACCCCAGGAGAAGCTATAGAGTCAAAACATGCTTATCCAAATCCTTAGCTTGTAAGTGTTCAAAGCCTCTAATTGTTCTAAGCTTCCCATTCAAGCTGCCAGCAATGGCTTTCCAAAGACATAGTGCTCACAAACTAACAACAGCTTGCCGGGTGCAGAGAGCAATATGTTACATTTGAAAACTGTTTATATTAATAACATCACCCCCACCCAAGGTCTATTCAGTCCCTGTTCTCCCAGTCAAGATGATTGCAAGCTTTACACAAAGGGAGAAATGCTTAAAGATTATCCCCATTGTTTTAGCCTTCCAATCATCTATGAGATGCTCAGAGAAGGGAGAGACTCTTGGAGGACTGCCCGGGTCGCTCTTATTAAGCATCTTCCCAGTCCTGAGTCAACCTCATCAAATAAACTAACACCCTTCTTCAACCCACTTGTCTCTCACCTATTCATTCCACAATCATTTAATGACAATCAGAGTTATCATTGATTGCATGCTTACTCTGTAACAGGCACTCTGCTTCCAAATCTGTCATCACATTTTACCCTCACAACAAATCCTTAGAGATTGGTATTATTGTCATTGATATTTTAGAAATGAGAAATCTGAGACCCAGAGACAATAAATAAATTGCCCAGAAGGAAACCAACAAATCCAAACAAATACAGATCTGACTTCAAAGCCTTGCTTTAAACTACTTAGCAATACGAAACACATACAGTTTGGATACTGGGGAGACAAGTAAGACTGAGACCATCACTTCATGAAGCTCAAAGTCTGATAGAGTGAGATACATTGAAACAGAGTATTTCAATTTAATTCACTTTATATGCTAGGGTGGGAGAATCAGTAGGTGCTGTGAGAGTGATTTGATGGCCACATCCAAGCAACTCAGTGTCTAGCTGACACTATTCATTCAATAGGCACATTGTATATGGTCTATATAGCAGATCCAATAATGAAGGATACATGGCTTTGAGCCCTACTACAGACCTCAAGCTAATGTTTTAGACCTTGGTTTAATACAACCTAGAGACTCTAACTTTGATGCACCGGTGTGTTTTCATTGTTTACCACCTGCTACCTCCTTAACCCTGAAGATTTCTATTGTATCTTCTTGTTCGAGACTGTCCTTGACCCCTGAGTAGATGCTTTTAGTTTTGGTCATGAGTACTGTAAACTTCAACCTTGGATGCCCCTCTGATAATGGTCACAAGGAATTGTGTACTTTGTTTCATGACCTGCCTGTGCCTTCATAGATTTCAGCTAGCTCTCCCCAGTAGATCACAGGTTTCTGAATGTAAAGATCAAGTATATCTCTCTCTCTCTGTTTCTCCCCATGGTTCATGGTAGAGAGCTTAAGAAATAATGAGAATTTAGCCAAACCCCAGTTCTGCTTCTACTGCATGCAAAAAAGACATAAAGAGGAACATTCATAGGATTTGTAAAGATATAAAAGGACAGAGAAGAAGGAACAGGAAGAAGAAATCAATTGTGACAGACAGTGAAGTTTAGCATTCAGAAGCTTTGAAAAAGTAACAAAACCATAAAAATGTATGAATAAGAAAGGAGAAATGACTGAGTTGAGAAATTATTCTTCATATAATAAAATAATTAGTTTTAAATGGATGATTTTTACATGATGTCTCAATGTAGGATAACAAAGCCTTGAAGATTGTTAGGGGGGTGGCTGTTACAATTACCTACCCTCCACCAACCCAAGCCTCGCCAACTCCAGCCAGGCTTTTCAAAAAAGCCTTTGGATAAAACCTCCTTTGGGGAGCTTCTAAGAAAGGCAAAGTTCTTATGCTTCTGACAAACTCACAATGGTTTCAAATATATTCGTGTTATAATGCAGCTGTTTGGCATCAGATTTCTTGTGTGATTCCACCCCATATTTTACTGGCTCACAAACAGAAAAATTCACATTGCGTATGTGTGTGTGTTTTTTTTAAAGAGAGAGAGAGAATTTTTTAATATTTATTTTTTTAGTTATAGGTGGATACAACATCTTTATTTTATTTGTATGTGGTGCTGAGGATGGAACCCAGAGCCCCGTGCATGCCAGGGGAATGTGCTACTGCTTGAGCCACATCCCCAGCCCAACATATGTGTGTTTTAATCAGCTTTTTTTGCTGTTGTGACCAAAAGACCTGATAAGAACAATTGGAGGAGGAAAAATTTTATTTGGGGGCTCATAGTTTCAGAGGTCTCAGTCCATAAATTTCCTACTCCATTCCTCAGGGCCCAGGGAGAGCAGAATATCATGGTGAAGACTGTGGTAGAGGAAAGTGGTTTAGGACCTTGCACCAAAAAGCAGAGAGAGCTCTGCTCAACAAGGACAAAATATAAACCTCAAAGGCATGACCACCAACTACACCCTATCTGCCTACAGTTACCACTAAATTAATCCCTTTCAGGGGATGTACTGATTAGGTTAAGGCTCTCATAACCCAATCATTTCACCTCCAAAACTTCTTGCATTATGACACACATGAACTTTTGGGGGACATCTCACATCCAAACCATAACAATGTGGATACCTAGCTTTCCTAAGTACTTAGATACCAAGACACAATAGCCCTCATAATTTTCATAGGTTGGGAAAATAGAATACTCTCCATCTTAAATGAGAAGCCTGAAGCACAAAAGTCAAAATGGCACAAGGATACACAGCTGGCTCATAGCAGACTTGAGACTAGCATTCATTTGTCCAGCTTCAATTCAGGACAAAATAATTCAGGGCTTTCTAAAGCCTTGACTTGGATCTATTGGCTTCATCAAACTTCCAGAGGGATCTCATGGGATAAAATTGGCCAAGAACCCCTACATGGAGTCTTTGCTGGTTCTTTGTAAAGTTTTCTCTTTCCCTCAGCTCCTACAGATCCTATTGGTATTTTTCCCATACTGCATTCTGCCTGTGCTACAGCCATTGATGGATATGTATTTTCTCCTTCAGGTACCCAAAGACAAGGCTGTCCAGCTCATTTTTGTATTCCCCACAGTAGTTTTTGGTACACAATAGATATATAATAAATGCTTGTAGGCCTAATGAAAAAAAAAAATAAAGCCCTGACTTGAAAGGCTTATATATAGGCCAGGCAGAAGAGTCTCCATTGTCCCATTTGATGCCTGATATGCATCACAACTACTGAATTGAAAAAAAATAATTTTCTTTATTAATCATATTCTTAATCTATGGAAGAGAAAATTTACTAACAATTGAGTATGTAGTGAAGAACAGGAGAAAGATGAATAAAAGAAAGAAGGAGGAGGAAAAAGGGAAGAGAGGAAGAAGAGAAGAATGGAGTATAAAATATAACTTTCAAATAAAGCTCACACTCATTTAATGCCTTTTTAAAAAATTCAATTGAGATAATATGACACAAAGTCCACCCAGGCTTATATTACAAAGGCATGATTTTCAAAATTCGCTTTTTTGAAATAAAATTTCCATCACAAGGCAACAAAAGTAGTAAATATAATAATCATTGCAATACCACTTACATCATCCTCTGAGAGTAAAGGTTTTGCTGACATCAGCTTCAGTATGAGTCATACTTGGGTATTTAAGTCAGAGAAGGGAACATGAAAGCATGACATCTATCTTCACAACTAATCAACTTTGAGCACAAAATCAATAAAATCAACTCACATTAACATTGATCCGTTAACTCAATCCTATTCTTTTAAAAAAAAAAGTGTCAAGTGTTGGGCAAAGAGAAGCCAGCTTGCTTATGCATTAGCATGAGTAATATATTATATGGATGGTCTGGTGTCTTAAATGTCAAAGTACAAATGGAGATAACAGATCACTTTGTGGGAGCAGTTTGAATCTATTAGCTGAAAAACGGAAAATTTACTCCGTGGCTTGATTTAGGCTTGATTAGATTCTCCAGCCACATATTACAGATACTTACACCTGCCTGCTGCTATTAGATTCCTCATTTCACTTATTACCTAATTTGTTCAGAAAGAATGTTACTTCAGGAAGTAAGGTCTTAGAAATCTATGTGGCTCACTTTCAATATGAAAAATATTTTCACTGAAAATTCCCTTCCACTAGTATTGATACATCAGACAATTATTGGGGCAAAGGAATTATGCGAGAGACACAGAAATGTACAATAAGGGACCCTGTCTTCAGAGTTGACAAC